GGCGGCTGGGACCGGAAGTGTAGACTAAATTTAGAAAAATAAGGTATTTTCGAAAAAATTAAATAAAATAATTGCACACTACAGACCTGTTCTAGCGGGTGAGCATTGTGTTGCAAGGAACTTGAAAAATGGGTGGAACTCCGCTTTAACTCATCTATAAGTGCAGTGCATATACAGGGAGAGCAGTGGCTCTTCCAGGTCTCTCCCACCTTATTGGTTGAGACAGCCAGTGAGGAGGAAGCAGAGGAGGGGCTGGGCCGTATTCTGTGTGTTTCATAGACACACGGAGGCTGCATGGATGCGCCAAGAGCAAGCAGCATGCGCTTTTGGGGGCTCTCAGCGCCAGCAGGGGACCTGAGAAGAGGAAGATTGGGGCTGCTCTGTGCAAAATCACTGCACAGAGCATGTATGTATGACATTTTTTTTTTTCAATCTAAACTTTTAGTATCCTTTCAACCTGTTTGCACTGACTGGTTTGTATACAGTTGCAAGAAAAAGTATGTGAACCCCTTGGGATTACGTGGAGTTTTGCATGAGTTTGGCATAAAATGTGCTCTGAACGTCATCTAAGTCACAACAATAGAAGAACACAGTCTGCTGAACATAATACTACACAAACATTAGATGTTGCCAATGGTTTAATTGCACATAACATGTAAATATTCACAGTGCAGGAGGAAAAAGTATGTGAACCTTTGGACTTTAATAACTGGTTGACCCTCCTTTGGCAGCAATAACCTCAACCAAACGTTTCCTGTAGTTGCAGATCAGACCTGCACAACGATCTGGAGTAATTTTGGACCACTCGTCTTCACAAAACTGTTTCAGTGTAGCAATATTCTTGGGATGTCTGGTGTGAATCGCTCTCTTAAGGTCATGCCACAGCATTTCAATCGGGTTGAGGTCAGGACTCTGACTGGGCCACTCCAGAAGGCGTATTCTGTGCTGTTTGCAGCCATTGTTTTGTTGAATTACTTGTATGCTTTGGGTCATTGTCCTGTTGCATCACCCATCCTCTGCGGAGCTTCAGTTGGTGGACAGATGGTCGTACGTTTTCCTGCAAAATGTCTTGATAAACTCTGGAATTCATTTTCCCCATCAATGACAACAATCTGTCCAGGCCCTGAAGCAGCAAAGCAGCCCCAAAACCTTGATGCTCCCCCCGCCATGTTTTACAGTGGGTGGGGGGGGGGATGAGGTTTTGATGTTGGTGTGCTGTGCCTTTTTTTCCTCCACACATAGTGTTGTGTGTTCTTCCCAAACAACCCAATCTTGGTTTCATCTGTCCACAGTATATTTTGCCAGTAGTGCTGTGGAACATCCAGGTGCTCTTTTGCAAACTTCAAACGTGCTGCAATATTCTTTTTGGACAGCAATGGCTTCCTCCGTGGTGTCCTCCCATGTACTCCATGTTTTAATGTTTTCCTTATTGTAGATGTGTCAACAAAAAATGTTAGCATGTGCCAGAGATTTCTGTAGGTCTTTAGCTGACACTCCTGGGATTCTTCTTTACCTCATGCGCATTCTGCGCTGTGCTCTTGCAGTCATTTTTACAGGACGACCATGCCTAGGGAGAGTAGCAACAGTGCTAAACTTCTCCATTTGTAGACAGTCTGTCTTACCGTGGACCACATGAACATCAAGGCTTTTTGGAGATACTTTTGTAACCCTTTCCAGCTTCATGCAAGTCAACAATTCTTGATCGTAGGTCTTCTGAGAGCTCTTTTCTGCGAGGCATGGGTTCACATCAGGCAGTGCTTCTTGAAACCAGTAAAACCCAAAACAGGTGTGTGTGTTTTTTTAAGGGCAGGACAGCTGTCAGCAACACATCCAATATCAATCACACTGATTGGAGGCAAGGTTGGCTCACTCCTGGCTCCAATTAGCTCTGGGAGAAGTCATTAAGCTAGGGCCCTCACATACTTTTTCCTCTGCCTGCACTGTGAATGTTTACATGTTATATGCAATTAAACCATGGCAACATCTAATGTTTTGTGTAGTATTATGTTCAGCAGACTTGTGTTCTTCTATTGTTGTGACTTAGATGACGTTCAGAGCACATTTTTTATGCCCAATTCATGCAAAACTCCAAGTAATCCCAAGGGGTTCACATACTTTTTCTTGCAACTGTATGTGCAGCTTCTCGGCAGCTGGGCTGTACCACTGGGCGGCTGCATATATGCATCTATATGTAAACAGTTTACTGTGCTGAGAGCGCATTCACTGTGTACTCCAGCATAGTAACTAAAGTGTAATGGAAAGCTCCCGATCCCTATTTGCAATCAGGAGCTTTCTGATCTTTGTGACTGCTTGTGGTGACAGCCAATTAAAACGGTGACATGATCAGAATGCCTACCTCCGCCTTCTGCCATTTAGATTCTCTTAAGGGACCAGGAAAGGGTTAAGTAGTTCAGCCTGGTCACTGCCCACAGTCATCTGATTTGAAATGAAAGGAGAATAACCACCCTGATCCAGAATACGAATCCCAGGAATCTGAATATACCCTTATCACGGCATGATACATTTGCTTTGAATCAGGAGCCAGCTAAAAATGTTTGGAGCCAGTTTTTTTTTTAGCATGGGTTGCCAGTGCCCATAGCAGGGCAACTTTTGGGCGACAAGCTTCATGCTATGCGATTTGCCACATAAAAATCATTGCAAAACCACAACAACACGCTTTTTTAGGTGCTTTTGAAAATAATGGCACCTGAACCTGCAATTTGCGATCACAGCAATTCTGCTGTGATCCCAAAAACGCCCAGGTGTGAATGGAGCTGCCTGGTTGACACATATATGCGATCCTGGATGCATTTTCAAACTCACAGATTCCCATGAGAGGCTAGATATTATGTGTTCCTGTTGAGGTGGTTCATACAAAGGGTCCTGTGCAAGTTTGTAGTAGTACATTCTAGACTTGCAAGTAAGTGGCAGGTGGAGATAAGTGTTCACATAGGATTGCTATTGACAGGAATTTTTCAGTTGAAGTCAATGGGAGGCATTTTTGCATTGAATTCAATGGGGCATGATTTTGCATTGAAGTAGACGGGAGGCAGTGTGTGAACCCAGGCACCAGGATGAAATTTCTAGTTGCCATGGCGACCTGGCGCATGGGATTTGTCGAGCCCTGCCCTTAGTAAACTTGACACAGCCAATATGTTTTCTAGGCAGTTTGAACTGAGCATTCAGTGACAAAATACATATATAGAGGTTTCCTTAAAAGGTCAAGTTCACTTAACAATAAAAAAAAAAAATTCTGCGAAAATATGTCTGTTTATTATTTTTTTTTCATAGCTACCTGCACAGCATTGCACCTGCAATCAAAGGCTCATGGGTGCAATGTCAGGCCCCTGCACTCTTTCTCCAGCCCCCTGCCAGATCCTCCGTAGAGGCTTTGGTGAAAGGTCCTCTTATTGGTGTGACTTTTAGCGGCATAATTCTATAAAATGGTAAACTTGACAATTCAATAATTTAAAAAATATGCGATTTTTATTTTTTGCAATCTTAAAACAGACATTTATTTACAATACAAAATTAGGCGGTGTCATCAGAGATGATATTACAATGAAGATGTAGAGATAAGTCATGCATAGATTACACTTGATGCGTTTTGAGAGCAATCACAATCTCTTCCTCAGAAGTGCTCACAAAAAGGCATGACGCATAGCCCCGTATGGGGTAAGAAAAGAGAACCACCAAAACGTTATCACTTAATTTTATGAACACAGCCAAGGATTCTTCATATGCCTCTGACAACGATAGTAGACAGGGAACAGAGGGAAAGAAAACAGGAGAAGACAACCGCCCGCCCAAACGCCTCCTGGAGGGGCCCTGCCCAGCTGCAGCAGATCAAAGAACTGGTTGCTCATTGATGCTGGTAGGGTGGTATAAGGGTGTGAGAAGATGACCAAAAATTACACAGGAAGGTAATGGTCGCCTAGCAGAGATCAAAACCCAAGATATAGGAGAATGAACTACTTCGGGACTACATGTCCGGTTTGTTGTGAGAAGTGTTCATCATGGCTGTGAGCGAACAGCCTTGAGTTGGATTGCTGGAGGAAGTGTCAATACAAGTATGCCAATTACTGCACTTGTGTTCCACTGAGAACTGCCGTGCTAGCTGATGGGACCTGTAGTTCAATCATTTACAGATCTCTGTGGAAGAATGATGTGGCTGTGTCGGCAGAGCCGCTCACAGCCACACAAAATTCAAAAGTGACAGTTGCTGTGCTGTGGATGGGAAGAACCCCTGCAAGCAATCACGGGTGGGCCTGCATAGCAACATGTTACACAGGACAGCATGTTGCTAAAGATACCCTTTAAATTAAAAAATGCTTTTGGAAATATTATCAGATTAAGATAGTGATACAATATATTCAATTGAAATTTTAATCTTTGTCAGTCGAGTTTACACCCACCCCAACAATCTCTTGAGCATCTCTGTTTGTCCTTTCATTATAGGCTATCTCACTGACCAGCAATGGAGCTCTGTTCTGTTGCCAAGTTTAGCTTTTAAAGGAAAAGTTGAGATCGGCATGTGTATCAGCTGCATGCATCTGTAGATCTGCTGACATGCAGCTTTCATGGAAGGGGCCTCTGTTTATGCATTTTACATAATATGCTCAAGTCTGAGCTGCCCAGATTTTATGACAGGTCTTCTTTATGTTTGATTGGCGTTCAACTTCAAGCCAGCGGGACTGATGAGCAAAGACTAGAGGGCATCCAAGCCCATCCTGGAGATCTACTATATGACTGTATTACAGGCAGTACCTTTCTATTTCTTAGCCTCTAGTTTGTATACATCTCCCCGGCTGTCTGTCAGTATATTACATTGTATATAATTGTGTCTTATGTAACCAGTCATTGAAAGCATCTTTTACTGTCCCTCTGTAGTAATCAATTTTTGTTTCTCAAATTCCTGCAGTGCTTTGAACAGCAGTGTCATCAAACGTATGGGTGTGAATCTACTACCGGGATTTTATGATCCATTCTCTGGTCGGACTCTTACCAAAGGGGAGGTGGGCTGTTTTCTGAGCCATTACAAGATCTGGCAAGAGGTAATGTTTCTTATTTATTCTTATTAAATTAAACCTTATAACCATGTAATAGAGTGCATGTAGTATTGTAGCCAGGGTTGGATTCACCATTAGGGTCAGTAGAGGTAGAGAGGCAGCTTTCTCTCTATATAGTCATGACCTACCTTCTCCATCATCCACAGTAATCATCTCCGTCAGATAAGGACCAAAAAGACAAAAACATTTTCTGTGTAATATTGGCTCCACCAAACCTACATTAATGCACAAATTGTTGTGTGTTACTACCATTTAGTACATTTTTGGTACATTTTGGTTTCATTTAGAATGCACATACTAGTACATTAGTGTACAACGAACCCATGCTGCAATGCACAGATTTCTTTAAAGTGGTTCTAAAGGCTCAAGGTTTTTATGCATGAAGGTAAAACACCTTTTGTGTTCAGCAGTGCCCCCAGCCCCCCTTAAAACTTACCTAAGCCCCCTCTTGATCCAGCAATGTGCACTGGACTCTCAGCTATCCCAGGATTCCCTCTTCTCATTGGCTGAAACAGAAGTGGGGGTCATTGACTCCCACTGTTGTCAATCACAGCCAGTGAGCCAATGAGCAGAGAGGGCACGGGGCCGTATGTGAATGGACACACAGAGCAGCAGCTGCCCCATAGCAAGCTTCTTGCTGTGGAGGCCCCCCGATAGGAGGTAGGTGCCAGGAGAGCCTGTGGGGGACCCGAGAAGAAGAGGATCTGGGCTACTCTGTACAAAACCACTGAACACAGCAGGTAAGTATAGACATCTTTGTTATTTTTTCTTAAAACAAAAAAAAAATCTTTAGAATCACTTTAAATGCTAAATTGCAATCCCAAATAAAAAAAATAGTTGCATGTACTGTATTTTAAATGAAAGTAGTTGGAGCACCTGAATTTATGTTTATATCCGCTTTTCTTAATGCCCTGCTTGGCAGGAATCAGACTGATAGGCGCTACTAGAAGGCAATCATTGCTGCATTGCTCGGTGCTGTCACTTTAACTCTGTTAACATGCCTACAGAAGGGAAGATCACAAGGAAGGCTCACCAGTGACCCGCTGCTTCTTCATTATCCAATCAGAAGACTGGGGATATGTCCTAGACTAAATTGTACTGCTAAACTGCAGTAGAAGTCCATGACTTGCTTTGCCATCTAGAGGTGATAGATCGCAAACTGGCTCAACAGGATTACAAATCTGCTAGCAGATTAGATGGTTCACTAGTATTTATTTTAATTGTGTGAGGATCTGATTGTCTGCAGTTAAGATTTAGGCTAGACTCCCACTGCTGTGATAAGATTAAGATCTGACTTTCAATGTAGTTATGTAGTGCAACTCTGTTGCAACTTTGATAAGGTGTGTATATTCTATGGGGCCAAAATTGCACTGGAAGTAGTACAGGAACCTTTTTCAAAATTCCTCTGTGCTGAATCGCATTGTTGTGAGTGGGCACCATTGAAAACAATGATTCTGTGCGACTCAAGTCGTATCGGAAACTAGTGTGAACCAGGCGTTAAATGAGATGTATGGGATATCACTATTATTATTATAGCACTCGATTTATATGGCACCAACAGTTTATGCAGCACTTTACAATATATAAAAAGCAAACATACATACTCACCTCCATGCTACAGCTGTTGGTGTGATGCTGCAGCTGTCTCCCACTGGCTCTAAGCCCAAGAAGTGAATGATCACATGACCTCTGATCATTCAACTCTTGGTCTTCTTGGAGAAGAGAGCAGTGACTGTCAGTCACAGTTCTCCGCTCTGCACAGAGGGCCAAGACCAAGAGCTGTGCTGGAAAGGGGGTATGTGCAGCTGGCTTTGGCCGTCAGTCGTGCACTCAGATCTAGAGCCAGCTGTCAGTCATGCAGCTGGGTAATACCCGGCAATAGGATTGGGATCCTTCCAGAGTCTGGAGCGGCTCTGTGATGTCAGCTGACAGCGAGCTTAGCCCACTGTTGGCTGATTCTGGGTCACAGGAGAGCAACAGCTTTGACCATACTTCACTTTTAAGCGTATCTTATGGAGACATAGAGGCTGCCAATGCTGATCTTTCCTTCTGAAAATGCTAGCTGCCTGGCTCCCATGCAGGCACTCTGGCTTCAACATTTTGAGTCACTGGAAGGATGTATGACTTTCCTGTTCTGCATGCATCAATTGCCTCTGAAGGTATTCAAGCCAGAGACAGGCAGGCAGTACATTTTTTTTAGAAAGAAGTTAATAATGGCAGCCCATATGTGTTTTTTTATGACCGTTTTACTTCAAAGTACACAAATGCAATAAAAAAGGTATGCAAGTTGTGTTCTGTAAAGTGTAATTTATGAAGACATTCCATTCCTTAAATAGACAGATGTTGTACTGAAAAAATGCTAAATATGACACTATATCTGTTTACTAAGCATGTTAGAAACTGCTCAGCCTGTATTGTGCCAGTGCATTATTTACCTCCTCTGGTGCTCTATATACTCTCACCAGGAGTAGGTGCCTCCTTCAAGGTGTAGATGGCACAGCTGGGGTCTGGAATAAGCAGTGAATAATATTCATCCTGGAACAGATCCACCTTCCTCTCCTAGAAGGCACGTACCTGCAGTGAGAGTGTATGGGGCATGGAGGATGTACACAAGCACTGGAATCATACAGCTTGCAAAGCACAAGACTCCAGCAATGGTTTTGGAGCAGGAACATTGGCACATGGGGTTCCAGAAGAGGTAAGTATGCAAACAAGGGGTTAGTTCTTGGGTTGGGGATTAAAGGAAGCGTTAGTGTGAGGGTCCCAGGAAGGTCAGTGTTAGGGTCAGATTTATAGTCAAGGTAAGCGTTAGGGTTAAATTTATAAGGAGTGTTAGTGTTAGGGTCAGATTTATATGAATAGTTAGTGTGAGGGACAGTTTTTTAGGGAAGGTTAGTGTTTGGGTCAGATTTAGAGGAAAGGTTAGTTTTTTGGCCGAGGATTATAGGGAAGGTTAGTGTTAGGGTCAGATTTATAGGGAGGGTTAGTGTGAGGGTCACAGAAAGGGTTACCAGGAAGGTTAAAATTAGTTGATTAGGGAAGGCTACAGTTGGGATTGGAGTTATAAGGTGGGTTAGTTCTTGGGTTGGGGATTAAAGGAAGCATTAGTGTGAGGGTCCCAGGAAGGTCAGTGTTGGGGTCAGATTTATAGTGATGGTTAGTGTTGGGGTCAGATTTATAGTGATGGTTAGTGTTGAGGTCAGATTTATAGGGAGAGTTTGTTTTGGGTTGGGGGTTTATAGAGAGAGCTTAGTTTGAAGGCCCCAGCTAGGGTTAGTGTTACTGGGAAGGTTAGCGTTAGGGTTTAAATTTATAGGGAGTGTTAGTGTTAGGGTCAGATTTATATGAATGGTTAGTGTGAGGGACAGTTTTTTTGGGAAGGTTAGTGTTAGGGTCAGATTTATAGGAAGGATTAGTTTTTGGGTCAGATCTATAGGGAGGATTAGTTTTTAGGTCAGGATTATAGTAAAGGTTAGTGTGATTGGGTCAGATTTATAGGGAGGGTTGGTTTTTGGGCTGGGGATTATAGGGAAGGTTAGTGTTAGGGTCAGATTTATAGAAGGGTTAGTTTTTTGGCCAAGGATTATAGGGAAGGTTAGTGTTGGGGTCAGATTTATAGGGAAGGTTAGTTTCTGGATCAGTATTATAGGGAAGGTTAGTGTTTGGGTCAGATTTATAGGGAAGGTTTCTTTTTGGATCCGTATTATAGGGAAGGTTAGTGTTTGGGTCAGATTAATAGGGAAGGTTAGTGTTTGGGTCAGATTTATAGGGAGTATTAGTTTTTGGGTCAGGATTTTAGGGAAGGTTAGTCTTGGGGTTGGCTTTATAGGGAGGGTTAGTTTTTGGGTTGGGGATTATAGGGAAGGTTAGTGTAAAGGTCACAGATAGTGTTAGAATAATAGGGAGGTTGGTGTTAGGAATAGTGTTAGGGTCAGAGTTATAGGGAGGGTTAGTGTTAAGGTTGGAGTAACAAGGAGGGTTACTTTTTCGTTTGGGAATTAAATCGAAGGTTAGTGTGAGGGTCACAGGGAGGGTTATTATATGAGTTAAAGGAAAATTGGTGTTAGGGTTACATTTATTCAGAGAGTTAGAGTTCTAGGCAGGGTTAATATTGGAGGTAGATTTTTTTTTAGGGAGGGTTAGTATTAGGGTTGGAGTAACAAGGAGGGTTATTCTCCAGGTTGGGGCTTATGTGGAAGGTTAGTGTGAGGGTCACTGGAAAGATTAAAGTTTGAGTTACAGAGAAGGTTAGTGTTAGGGTTGGATTTATTGGGAGCATTAGAGTTTTAGAGAGGGTTATCATTTGGATTAGATTTATATGGATGGTATAGGAGGTCAGAGCTACTATAAGGATTGTGTGCCAGAAAACTGCCAGCACTGATCTCCATACCAATGTATTACATATTGTAGTTCATGGGTGCTTAACTTGTGGCCCTCCAGCTGTCACATAACTACAAGTCCCATCATGTCTTTGGTCCCATCATGCTTGTGACTGTCAGCCTCTTGCAATGCCTCATGGGATTTGTAGTTCTGCAACAGCTGTAGGGCCACAGGTTGAGCACCCATGCTGTAGTCCCCTTGCTGTAGTTTAAGACAAGACATTTTCCATGGTCACCTGTCATTTTCCTGTACGTTACTAGTGAAAGCTGGTTTCTAATTGGTTGGTATGGAAAGCACTACACTTTCGCCCTGCCTAGGTACTTATAACTAACAGCCCCATATATGTAGACATCCTTTGTGATGAATGGCCTCTGACACCCACATATTTGCAGAAACATTTAGGTCACCAGCAGCAAAGAGGCCATAAACACTACTGGTCCACTAACAAGCATTGGCATGATCAGTTGAGTGGGAAGACTTACACTGAGGTGTGTATCACAATGAGAAGAGCAGCAAGGAAGGTTCTATGGAGGGGTGTCAGTTTTACGTGCAGTTTATTGTAGTCATATGGATGGAATTTGTTTTTAACTGCCTTTTTTTTTCTAATCTTAGTTTTTCTCTATTAGATTGTAGATCAAAAGCTGGAAGTGACCCTAGTGTTTGAAGATGACGTACATTTTGAATCGTTTTTCAAGCGAAAGATGATCCGTCTTTTGGGTGAAGTTCGTACAATCCAGCTGGACTGGGACTTGATGTAAGGGTGTCACTTACTACAAATACATATAGAGTAAAGCTGGCCATAGATGGTTAGAAAAATTGTTTAAATATAAACTATTGTTCAGTAGCGCAATTGATTCACCCATCACTGTATCAAAAATGTTCCACCTATCATCTATATATATTTATGTTCATTTTCAGCATTAAGTATAATTTTTTTTTAATACCTCATGTGCATTATGCTTTGAAGATTTTTTTTCGATCGATTTCACTACTCGTGCTTAGAAAGTCTTTCACCTAACAAAATTTTTCAATATGATCCTTTTTGTTTTTTTTTTCTATAAAGAATTGGATATTGATAGTCAGAGCATGCTAACCATTGGAAAACGCTAGTATTTTCGTTTGATATTCTACCCGTCTATGGCCAGATTTATGCACTACTGGTGGGCAGTATCCTATAAACAGTATCCCGCAAGATGGATCGGATCTGTGGATTGGGGAGGATAATGGATCGGACACAGATCCGATCCATTCTGCATGGATCGTCGAAGGGGTTGTCACCAAGTGTTACACCAACCCTAGGGATGCCCCTGACTATAGAAGTCAATCCGAATTTACTGTTGCCAGATCACTCCCTGCTGATTGGTTTCCATATTCATTGCCATACTACTAATAAGGCTGTTTGTGTTTCTTTTGCTGATGTTACTTTCCGGTAAGACCCCCAACTAACCATTCATCTCCCAACAGATACATTGGAAGAAAACAAGTCACTACAGATCCTGAGAAGGCGGTGGAGAATGTGCGGAACTTGGTGGTGGCAGATTACTCCTACTGGACTCTGTGTTATATGATCTCCCTGCAGGGGGCACAGAAGTTGCTGAACGCTGAGCCATTATCTAAGATGCTCCCAGTGGATGAATTCCTGCCCATTATGGCAGACACTCACCCAAAGTAGGTAGCCTGGCTTGGCTGTGTTTTACCAGACCTCAAGGGTCTTTGATATTGTCTTTATCAAACTAATGCTGGCCACGCACATTGCAGTCAGAAAGTACAATCTATTAATATTACAGGAAATCTATACAGAAAGAAATCCATGATCCGCCATTGCTGACCTACTTCCGAAAATACAGATTCCCTGGCTGTCATGCTTAACCTCTGTCATCAACTGTTTCTGAGTCGCTAACTTTAAATTAGTTTTCATATCAATAATTCTGACTTTATTTGCTGCATGCTTGTTCTGGAACAGAATGCCAAAAGGATTGAATCTGAGAATAGTCAAGTATCTGGCATTTTCAGAAACAAAGGCAGGCCCCGTATTTTTTTTTAAAACAGTTTGCCTTTAAACTGTGAAGAAATGTTTGTATGTGCCAGATAGCATAAGATACAGTTGTTAAAAAAAATGCATGAGGCTGTATGTGACTGGATGAGCTGGAAAAGATTAACCGTTAAATACATAAACATGTGCCATGTGAATAGAAGTATGTACTGTGTGGTAGTCAGCGGTATTGTAAAGTCACATTTTTGTTGTGTGGGGTAAGAAAAAATGTTATGTGGCGTCATTGCTGGAAATAGCTTACAACTAATATGTTAGGAGAGAACTGCCATGTGGGACAGGAGTTGTAATATGTTTTGCCAGCATTAGAACTATTAGACCCCTTTCACACAGGTGAAATCCGATTTGCTTAGCAAGGGATTAATCTGCTGATCAGAGCAAAGCGGGGGCAAATGACAGGTCCATATCTGCTCAGGTTATACAGAGCGGACACAGTCAGAGCCAGGTCTGTTCTATGGGTAGCTGGGTGTAAATGGATTCCCCTGTCCATTTACACCCAACTGTCCCATGATCCAATCCGCCTAATCTGAGAATGATGGATCCCCTCCCTTTTTTGTTTATTTTTTTATACACCTGCTGATTAATAGGAGTCAATGTAGGGTGTGATTAGGACTGCCTGAAAAACTGACAGGCAGACCTGATCGGACCCTTCGTATGAAAGGGGCCTTAGGAACGTCTTTTCAGTGTGATTTTTAGTGGTTTAATTGGCCATACTTATGAAGAACGTGGTATGTTTACAGTGTCCAAGTAATAGTATGGACCTATTCAAATGGACATGGTGGTGTACATTGCCATGGCTGCAATGCTTTGCTTTATGGTGCGGCAGTTTAACTTGGCATGCTGAGTTTGACAGATGACACTGCCTGTGAAACTTGCCATTGCTTGCCAAACACAACTGTGGTGGTTGCATCACTGTAGCTCAATGTAAAATCCCCATTGGGACGGAAAAAAAAAAGAAGCAGTCTAGAGCCTGTACACTGGCTCTATCACCACCACAAATCACTTTTCAGAGGGGTGGTAGAGCCTGCTGCCTATAGGAATAAGGCATTGAGCAATTACCCATGTTTTTTCTCTCCTTACGAGCCTCCCTTATGTATACAAAAGCCTCAGGGACCAACCACTTACCTCTGAGGAATTTCAGCACTCCCCTGCAATTGTTTGGCTTGGAGTTATAATATGCAAGAGGGTGGGAGCTGTATGTGGTAGTGCTGAAAGGTCAAGGTGATTCTCATTTATTGCACTGGAGTTTTATATCCTATCATGCACTTATGGGGCCTTATAGCAGATTGAGGGGGCCAAGAAGTGTAACTAAATTGTTAGAGGTGTGTGGCCAACCATGTAGCAGAAAAAAAGCTAAAAAAAAAAAGTGTTACTTTGGGTAATATTTAGCTGCTAAATTCCTCCATGAATATTGTATTTACCCCTGACTTTCTTCTCTCTGCCTTTTTCCCCCCAGTGAGGAATACAAAAGCTATTTTCCCAACCGAAACCTGAGAGTGTTCTCTGTACAGCCCCTCCTCGTCTTTCCAACCCATTACACTGGAGAACCCAACTGGCAGAGTGACACCGAAACCTCCACCCTCTGGGATGATGACAACGTGCGGACAGATTGGAGCGGGTCGCAAAAGACTCTGAAGGATTTAAAGGGGAAACGTACATCACGGGATGCAGTCCCCGTCACGAGACGAGCTGTGATCTTAAGACATTGGCAGAACAATATTCACTGGTGCTTGGTACGTCCATTGGAAAAAAAGTCAACAGTACATAACGGAACTTTCATTTTCAAAGATGTCACTTCTCTGTTCTCAGAAGGAATTGCCCGGTTGGTCCATCCTTGCTGCAGTTCAAACAGTACTGGATAAATTATACATTACAGAGAAATATGATCTTACAGGAGCCATAACATTTTTCCTTTTATTTGATTTTGTCCAGAAAATGTTCAGCTTATTTACGAAGATGTGGTAAGTTATTCTGAACATGAGAACATCTCCCAAGTGGACCAAAAAAACACAAAAAAACTATGGTCATTCCTATTCCTAAACGTACATGTATATCATTTATTGTTGCTGTTTCAAGCAATGTGTAAGAAAGAATTGAATGTATTTGGAACGCTTGTTCACACAAGTCTTGGATTGGTGGCTGGAAGGAATGCGTCGTCTTACCACCACGAACCACCCCCTTGACCTCAAGGGTGAAAGCTGTATTGAGTGAAGCATTCACTTCATACTTCATAACTCTGGTGTGACAAGTCCATTTAAAGGGGAAATTTATTTTTAGTTTTATATGTGTCCACACTCCTGCCAAACCCCTGTTGGGCAGCTTAAAGGGAGTTGCACAGCTGTCTTCCAGCTGGGGAGTTTCTTCTGTGCATAGGAAAAAAAACCCTCCATTCATTCCTATGATGTGTATTATGCAAGTAAGTAGTGGGTGGCTTCAACAAAGACAGGAATAGGGTTTTTCGGCACAGGTACAGAGGAAGAGGCTGCTCCTGGCTGGGACAGGTTGCAGGAGCGTCTGTATTGCTTCCCATGGGCTGTGCCTACATCTGGTGGAAGTGTGGACCCCTCTGTCCAGCACACTCTGTCTTCTACCAACCTGTATAACGAGTACAGTTATCCTTTCATTTCACCTGCCAGACTCCTGCCCGATTTAAGGTGGTTGCTGTGGACAGAACAGAAACGTATCCTTTATATATTTTTACAGAAATCCTAATAATAATATAATTAAGACATTTTTAGAGATACAGACCTCCTTTTTTATTACATGCAGATACAAATGTCTATTTTGGTATATTTAAAATCTATGTGGATAAGTGTTTACAATGCCTAATGTAGCATTATTGTCTATGTAGTGCAATATATTGCTCTTGGTGAATCGGTGACTTGCTCTGGATTATGGGAATATTTGGGGCTTTTTGTCAGTTTTTTTTTTTGCAGCTTTTCGCAGCTTAGTAGTCAAGGGGAAGTTTCTGAAGATGCAATACCTTGTGGTCATGTTTTAAAGCTGAACCACAGCCAAACAGCTGAATACACAGTTCAAATATATGTATGTAAACTGTCTTACCTGTTGAAACAAATTTGACATTCTGTTTAGCCAATTTTGTGAAGTGGGCACCCCTATCAGACAGAACAGCCAGGTCCTGTCCTCTCCACAGTACACTTGGTCTACATGATGCCATCACTCTACTCTACCCAACTTTCTAGCAGCTTCTTGGTTTAGATTGGCAGCACATGCTCAGTGCAGCAAAGCCTATTTGGCCTAGTGCTGATTCACACATGTGAGGTGCGAATTGAAGCTCAGGTTTCACAGCTAATTGACACAGTAGTTGTTCAGTGGTTCAGGTCAGGTTTACATCAGATTCAGGTCAGGATGTTATCGTATTCACACATGTACAGTTCAGAAATGGTTCCCATAGAAGTCAATAGGCTGTAATCCGCACCTGAACCGGACCGCAGTGCTCAGAAATCAGACAGGACTCTTTTTTTTTAATCCGCACTGCCAGTGCACTGGACATATGTGAACAGGCACCATAGGAAGCAATGTTATTTTATATGTCATGCGGATTGGATGTGGTTCAAACCGCATCCAATCTGCATATACTGTATATGTGAACTGGCACTTCTAGTGCTGACCCTCCCTTTTACAGTCTGAGCACTGCTGTCCAAGGGGATACAGGAGGCTGATAAGGCAGATTTATTTACATTTGCTATGTTTCCATAAATTTATTTTTTTTTTTTTTATTAATTTATGTTTGGAATAAATGATGTCTCGGTATATCTTTCTGGAGTTCAGCTTTAAATAACATAACTGAGACACGTTTGTCCAGCATTTGATTTATGAAAGCATCAGGAAAGGAAAGTGCCTTTGTTGCTCTCAGTAACCAAAAACCCAGCCATTATATTTAAAGTCCTTTTTGGGTTTTTTTAATATGTATGTAATTGTTTTTAGCTTTATGGATTTATTCTTATCAATGAGCGTATTTTTTTCTAACCTTTTTTGTAATTATACATGTATGTACAGGGGTGAACCTTGTATGTTCATTCTAATATATTTTGCTCTGGTTGTGCTTCCTGTTTAGTAATCCTGCCCAGTGATCGTGCTTTACTGTTCCTCACTCTAAAAGCCCACAACCTGCTCATGCCAATTGAAGCTGTCTCTAGTTGGCTTACATGTATTCTCAGAATTTGCTCAGGAAGAGGACTAACAAGATCTAGCAAATTTGGCAGCCTATGCACTGTTGATTGGGGCGTTGGAAGCTTCTTCATAGCTGTGGGATGGCCCAGTCTGGTGGGGGGGGGGGTAAATCTGCTATCTATCTATCTATCTATATATATATATATATATATATATATATATATATATATATATATATATATATATATATATATATATATATATAGGCAGTCCTGTAGCTGCCCATTTAGTGCAGGAGACAATAGAGATGGTATTCTCATCCAAAGAGTTAAATGGATAAGCCATTTCACTGAGAAAGGCAACAGCAGTACATAACTCCCCATTCATTATCAGAGAAGGTTAAAGAGGAGTCCGGTCTGTCATATATCTACAAGTGTATAGGCACCTTTTAAAACTGTAAAAGCCACATTAAAAATGGTATCAGCTTGTGCAGGGCTGATTCTTTCTTTTGAACCCATATTCACCCAGAGCAGAGCGTTTGTACCTGAACTATCAGGCAAATATATATGGGAGCTGTTTTACTTGCCAAAGGATTTCTATTTCTGTCCATCAACTCCTGAGAGTTACACCGCCCCACCACACAGTACAGCCACCTTGGTGACCAGACTTATCTACACTACAGTTAGCAATACAGTTTGGTCAGCTCTCCACCCCCAGCCTTGATTGGACAGTTAAGTTAAGTAACAACAGACAACTAATGAGCTCAATCCTTTCCAATGTATTCCTTGTCAACATATTTTCATATACCTGATTGTCTCTCAGCCCAGCCCCTCTTTATCCAAGCAAAGCTCTGCTATATAAGAGGTTGATACCAAGTCAAATTCAGATATTTGATTAGTGCATTTTAAAGCCTAACTCCAGGCAGAAAAAAAAATCTCTAACTCCCCTCCTCCCTTCATCACTGCAAGGGTTACATGCTGGTGAGCTCAAGGGGTAGGTGTAACACTGTTCCTCACTCCGGCAGGCTTTCTGTGACAGGTCCCCTGAAGCTCCTTCTCAAAGCATTCCAGCAGGTGGCTGCATGATGACGTCTTCACATACAAAGCAGGACCAATATATCTGCATTATGTGTGAGGATGGCAAGGGCCCAGTGGTAGAGAGAAGAATGCCAGGAAGACATTTGGAATGTTATGGTGGATGTTCTGTTATATTTAGTATCTGTCTGAGCCTGCTAGAGAGCAGATTATCACAGTGTGGACTAGTAGCAGCTTGTAGCCAGCTGAATAATGTACAGTACGTCTGTCAGGGCTCCCGGGTGTGACCAGAGGTGTGTGACTGACGCAGGGAAACGCAGACTTCAGATATGTTATAAACAATGTAATTTATTAACACTAACCATACAAACATAAACGCAGTGCAATACTAAAACATAACACAGTGCAAACAAACCAACCAACCACCCACAGATAACAGTACATACAATGCAAGCGTCGTCAGGCAGGCCGGGTCAATATCAGTTGGGCAGGTAGGTACAGGGGGAGCAAGCGGAGAATGGTCGGGGTCACAGGCCAGGTTCAGCAGGTAGCGGGCAGCGTGGTACAGAGGGTCAGGCAGAGGAGAATGGTCAGACAAGCCAGGGATCAGAGCAGGGTCAGCAGAGAATCAGACAGGAACAGAGAGCAGGAACAGGATACAGGGCCCAGAAGAAACACAACACCAAGGCAGAGTCTGCAGGTCTGAATGTCCCTTAAATACACCAGTATAATTAGTTCCAGGTGTTTTGACTGGCTGCAAGGTTGAGTCTCTGATTGCTGGGAGCACCCGCTGGCCAGCCCTGGTACTGCAGCTCATAAGGCAGCTGAGTCCCACTATTGCTGGCCAGTCCATTCCTGACAGTACCCCCCCCTCAAGGAGCGGCCTCAGGACGCTCCAAACAGTCCTAGCTGGGCAAAATGTTCCACCGCCCGGGTCTGGTAACTGGCGGGATATCAAAGACTGGCACACCGGGCAGGACTCCGGGCAGCGGCACACCGGGCAGAGGCACATCGGGCTGGACTCCGGGCAGAGGCACATCGGGCTGGACTCCGGGGAGGCACACATCGGGCAGAGGCACACCGGGCTGGACTCCGGGCAGAGGCACACCGGGCAGGACTCCGGGCAGAGGCACATCGGGCAGGACTCCGGGCAGAGGCACATCGGGCAGGACTCCGGGCAGAGGCACATCGGGCAGGACTCCGGGCCGAGGCACATCGGGCTGGACTCCGGGCAGAGGCACATCGGGCAGGACTCCGGGCAGAGGCACATCGGGCTGGACTGGACTCCGGGCAGAGGCACATCGGGCTGGACTCCGGGCAGAGGCACATCGGGCCGGACTCCGGGCAGAGGCACATCGGGCCGGTCTCCGGGCAGAGGCACATCGGATTACCAGGCGAAGCAGCAGGCAGCGGGCCCCCGGGCGGAGCAGCAGGCACCGGGCCCCCGGGCAGAGCAGAAGGCAGGCCCCCAGGAGGGGCGACGGGCGTCGGGCCCCCAGGAGGGGCGACAGGCGTCGGGCCCCCAGGCGGGGCGACAGGCATCGGGCCCCCAGGCGGGGCGACAGGCATCGGGCCCCCAGGCGGGGGACAGGCATCGGGCAACAGGCATAGGGCCCCCAGGGGGGGCAACAGGCATCGGGCCCCCAGGCGGAGCGGCGGGCGCCGGACCCCCAGGTGGAGCAACAGGTCTCGGAGCCCTCAGGCGGAGCGGCGGGCGCCGGACCCCCAGGCGGAGCGACAGGTCTTGGGCCCTCAGGCGGAGTGGCGGGCGCCGGACCCCCAGGTGGAGCGACAGGTCTCGGGCCCCCACGCGGAGCGACAGGTCTCGGGCCCTCAGGCGGAGCGGCGGGCGCCGGACCCCCAGGCGGAGCGACAGGTCTCGGGCTCTCAGGCAGAGCGGAGGGCGCCAGACCCCCAGGTGGAGCGACAGGTCTCGGGCCCTCAGGCGGAGCGACAGGTCTCGGGCCCCTCAGGCGGAGGACAGGTCTCGCCGGGCCCCCAGGCGGGGAGGCGGGCGCCGGGCCCCCAGGCGGAGCGACAGGTCTCGGGCCCCCAGGCGGAGCGGCGGGCGCCAGACCCCCAGGCGGAGCGACAGGTCTCGGGCCCTCAGGCGGAGCGACAGGTTTCGGGCCCCAGGCGGGGAGGCGGGGGAGGCGGGGCGTCCGGGCCCCCAGGCGGAGCGACAGGTCTCGGGCCCCCAGGCGGAGCGACAGGTCTCGGGCCCCCAGGCGGAGCGGCGGGCGCCGGACCCCCAGGCGGAGCGACAGGTCTCGGGCCCTCAGGCGGAGCGGGCGGGCGCCGGACCCCCAGGCGGAGCGACAGGTCTCGGGCCCTCAGGCGGAGTGGCGGGCGCGGACCCCCAGGTGGAGCGACAGGTCTCGGGCCCTCAGGCGGAGCGACAGGTCTCGGGCCCCCAGGCGGGGCGGCGGGCGCCGGACCCCCAGGCGGCGGAGCGACAGGTCTCGGGCCCCCGGGCGAAGCGGCGGGCACCGAGTCACCAGGCACGACAGTGGGCTCCGAGTCAACTGGCATGACCGCTGGCACTGGGTCAGACATTGGATCGTCTGGCTGGACAGCGGGCATCGGGTCACCAGGCATCAGGTCATTTGGCTCGACAGCGGGCACCGCGTCATCTGGCAAGGCAGTGGGCTCCGAGTCAACTGGCATGACCGCGGGCACTGGGGCAGACATTGAATCGTCTGGCTGGGCAGCGGGCATCGGGTCACCAGGCATCAGGTCATTTGGCTCGACAGCGGGCACCGCGTCATCTGGCAAGGCAGTGGGCTCCGAGTCAACAGGCACGACAGTGGGCACTGGGTCCTCAGGTACCGGATTGTCTGGCTCGACAGCGGGCATCGGGTCACCAGGTATGACAGCGGGCACTGGGTCACCAGGCATCAGGTCATTTGGCTTGCCAGCGGGCACCGCGTCATCTGGCAAGGCAGTGGGCACCGGGTCACCAGGCATTGGATCGTCTGGCTCGACAGCGGGCATCGGGTCACCAGGTATGACAGCGGGCACTGGGTCACCAGGCATCAGGTCATTTGGCTTGCTAGCAGGCACCGCGTCATCTGGCAAGGCAGTGGGCACCGGGTCACCAGGCATTGGATCGTCTGGCTCGACAGCGGGCATCGGGTCACCAGGTATGACAGCGGGCACTGGCTCACCAGGCATCAGGTCATTTGGCTCGCCAGCGGGCACCACGTCATCTGGCAAGGCAGTGGGCACCGAGTCACCAGGTACGACAGCGGGCTCCGAGTCAATTGGCACGACAGCGGGCACCGGATCAGGTACCGGATCATCTGGATCAACAGCGGGCATCGAGTCAACTGGCCTAATAGGATCATCAGGCTGGATCAGTTCATTATGCTGGGTAGAAGCATCCGGCTGAGAGAGCATCCGGCTGAGTAGAGGCTTCAGGCTGAGTAGAGGCTTCAGGCTGAGTGGAGGCTTCAGGCTGAGTGGAGGCTTCAGGCTGAGTGGAGGCTTCAGGCTGAGTAGAGGCTTCAGGCTGAGTAGAGGCTTCAGGCTGAGTAGAGGCTTCAGGCTGAGTAGAGGCTTCAGGCTGAGTAGAGGCTTCAGGCTGAGTAGAGGCATCAGGCTGAGTAGAGGCATCAGGCTGAAGAGAGGCATCAGGCTGAACCACGGAAGGCAGGTTCTCAGACGGTAGGCTCACCAGTTTGGATACTGGCAGGATGGTACTGGTTGGAAAGAATTTTCGCTTTTTTCTGGTTTTAACTACTGGGGCACTGCAAGTAAACGCAGGTCTGCAAATGAATGGAGCAGCTGGAGACAAAGAAGAGCTGGAGGATGGAACAGGGGAAGGAACAGTCGCTACAGAGGGCTTCTTTACAGGGTTAAAGGCAGGATAGGTGCAGCGAGTGGGAACAGGGTACTGACATGCGGTAGATAGCCAAGTATACTGGGTTGTAACTGGAGGAGCTGTTGGGAATACAGGAGTAGAGCTTTGAGGAGGTAGATTAGAAGCAGGACTGGGTCTTTGTAAGCTGACTGAGGCTGGGTGTAACAAATCTGTCCATGTCTGCAGTATGGGTTGAACAAAGCTGAGCTTACACAAAGCCTGTCTGACCAAAGACTGCACTGCGTTTATACAATCTCTTAGTGTCTGTGGTGAACATGTGGAATAACGTTCCAGAAAGTAACCCACATCATCCTCTAATAACCATACCAGGGACTCTACCTGGTCTGCACTAAATGGGGGCAAAAATTCATCCCTGCATTTGGGGTACCAGATGAAACCAACTCAGCACAAACCTCAATCAAAGGCTGCACCTCAGAGAACTCTGTGCCCTGATCTACTAGAACATGAGCGAGCCGTATACATTCTAGCAGTTCATCCCGGGTATACTCCTTCAGAGTTTGATAAGCATACTCCCTGTCATCAAATACTAGCAGATATAAATACGCAACCTCATCCAGATCCATCCTTCCCATCAACAAGCCAAGATGGCTTCCCTGTGCAGCCACTTCTGGTCAGGATTGGCCTTGGTGTAATGTCAGGGCTCCCGGGTGTGACCAGAGGTGTGTGACTGACGCAGGGAAACGCAGACTTCAGATATGTTATAAACAATGTAATTTATTAACACTAACCATACAAACATAAACGCAGTGCAATACTAAAACATAACACAGTGCAAACAAACCAACCAACCCCCCACAGATAACAGTACATACAATGCAAGCGTCGTCAGGCAGGCCGGGTCAATATCAGTCGGGCAGGTAGGTACAGGGGGAGCAAGCGGAGAATGGTCGGGGTCACAGGCCAGGTTCAGCAGGTAGCGGGCAGCGTGGTACAGAGGGTCAGGCAGAGGAGAATGGTCAGACAAGCCAGGGATCAGAGCAGGGTCAGCAGAGAATCAGACAGGAACAGAGAGCAGGAACAGGATACAGGGCCCAGAAGAAACAACACCAAGGCAGAGTCTGCAGGTCTGAATGTCCCTTAAATACACCAGTATAATTAGTTCCAGGTGTTTGACTGGCTGCAAGGTTGAGTCTCTGATTGCTGGGAGCACCCGCTGGCCAGCCCTGGTACTGCAGCTCATAAGGCAGCTGAGCCCCACTATTGCTGGCCAGTCCATTCCTGACAGTGTCCTATGAAGAACAGGTGTGTGTATGTGCTGCTACCTTTCAACATACATGATCCACTGGTGCTCAGACTTCGAGGCTGCTGACACCTCCAGCAGACCAAGATAAGACAAAAGGATGGTCGGCACTCAGGATGACCTCCAAAAATCGTAAACCTTTAAAAGACATATACATACTGATAAAAGAGCCTACGCATTTTGCACACTAATCCTTAGTCATGGCAGCCATGAGCAAGGATTAGTGACCGAAACGCGTAGGCTGTTTTATCAGCCTGTACATGTATTTTCAATAAAGGATTACGATTTTTTGGATATCATCCTGAATGCTGACCATCCCTTTATCTTATCAATGTGCATACTATGTGAAAAGAGAAAACCTGCGCTACACCCAACAAATAATAAAAGTGACAAAATATAATATAAATTGCAATGAATAAATGAATGAATAAATAAAGTGAACTGCCGATACTCTCTTCCTGAATACCAGAAAAAAGAAAAAAAGAAAAATAAATGAGTGCGCTGTACACTAAACCAATCTGACACAACAACTAAACACAACTTATCAAAGATAGACCATAAATAAACATGTGCATATACAAAATGTGCAAAAAATGCATCTAAAGTGCTAAAAGTCCACGTACATAATATAAATGAGCAAAAAGTCCCAAATCCTATGTGAAAGTGCTATGTGCTGAAAAATCCTCCAATAAAGTGCTATGGTGTCCACAAGTGCTCGCCACAACAGACAGATCAGCCTCTTACCAGACACACTGATCTCCAATCAAGAGATCAAACGAGCAGATGGTGTTCAGATTCCACACTGATACCCATCCTAGCAATATTAAGGGAGATGGATGGACGTCTGCGGGCTCACCCCAATGAATTCCTCACATCATCCCATGATGATCTCCAATCCCAGAGGACGCCAGTTTTGGAGAAACGCGTCAGACGGAGTCCTCTGTGACGTCGCCACATTCCAGCCGGTGGTATGGGAATTTTGAATTTGTATACTGCCTTTATGCACCTTATCTGTGTAAGTGCAATATTTTGCTGAATACATTTTTGAGTTTTTATCGAGTTGCACTATGAAGTCTCTTCTGTTTTAATCCTTCCTTACATTGTATGTTGAGTGGTTCGATGTGAGGAATTCATTGGGGTGAGCCCGCAGCCGTCTATCCATCTCCTTGATTTTGCTAGAATGGGTGTTGGTGTGGAATCTGAACACTGTCTGCTCGTTTAATCTATTGATTGGAGATCAATGTGTCTGGTAAGAGGCTGATCTGTCTGTTATGGCGAGCACTTGTGGACACCATAGCACTTTGTTGGGGGATTTTTCAGCCCACAGCACTTTCACATTGGATTTGGGGCTGTTTGCTCATTTATATTATGTACATGGACTTTTAGCACTTTAGATGCCTTTTTTGCACATTTTGTATATGCACATATTTATTTATGGTCTGTCTTTGATATATTGTGTTTAGTTGTTGTGTCAGATTGGTTTAGTGTAATGTGCATACTATGCCAGCAGCTAATCTTGGAAAGAGCTTTGAAAGAAGAATTTAAAACGTCGTATCACACAACACAATAAATGTCAACATCAATTACCTAAAGGACGCAGAGTGTGAGAAAAGATGAGACCTTTCTGAGCATGTCCAGTAATATTTCCCCGTTTTCTATGTTACTGTCACTTGCTGTTCACTGGTTTAACTGTAACATCTCAGGTTTTGTAATAAACTAATAAAGAAAATTTGACATCAGCTCCCATTGTGAACTTGGACTTTTTATGCTGTGAAAAGGGTCAGAATAAACGGTCATTTGACCCAAAGCTGAGATTTCAATTTTTGGTAGTTGTGTGAGAATTAAAGTAGAAGTAAACCCTGCCTGGGTGACAGTAGTTTCCTAAAGCACTGCGTATCATAAACAATTGCCATGTCTTTTTCTTTGAATACTGTTTTACCCAGTTTTTTTTTCATCCTGTTTGCATCTCTGTGCTGCTGATCTCCTTTTAGACTTTTTCAGCCACCTCCTGCCTACATGCATCACCCCAATGGTTGTCTATACCCAGTGGTGTATGGTGTGTTTAAGTTTTGTGCTGCCCTAGGCAACACAAAAATTGGTGCCCCCCCGCAGAAAGAGCCTGACATTGACCAAGAGCACCCCTGCCCTCCACCCGAGCCTTCCACTACCACTTCCCCTTTGACAACGTGCCATTGCCACGAAACGCGTTAGATAGATGCTATTTGACTTACCACCACTGTCCACATGGTCCACACCTTGATACGGGCGGCCATTCTTGTACCTACCTGGAATTGTGAATATATCATGTAAGTGCTTCGTTTGTTTTTACACCCCTTAATAAAAGTTACTATACTATCGGAGGCCTCTCTTTTGGGTTTATTTTCGAGCCTTCAAGGTGACTCCTGTCTTATGAGTGTGCACTGCACACCCTGGAGGTTGCTGTCAGAAAGGATTCCACAATATCGGATGAGCGTTTATCGATACAGATGTTTCTGGTGACTGTGGCAGAGACGACCAACACTCCGGCAGAGTTCCCTATCCAGTGACCAGGAGTAGGTCATTTTACTCCAATGCGCTATCAAATGCGCCATCTGGTTAGTGCATTCCACAGCCACACCACCTACCACAAAAGTCACAGATTTCCTTATGTTACTCCATTGATATATTGACTTTGACACCTATGTCACCATGTACACCTTAGTTTGATTAAGAGTGTGTTTCAGTATGGGTTGTAAATACCAGTACTTATATGCTAGCTGCGTTTATCTCCCATTGAGTTTGTCATATTGCATTACGAGGTAATCTCAATATTCTAGCGCTGCATGCTTTTTCTCTTTGTGACTGTTATCTTATGAGACGCTTTGAGGTTTGCCTTTCATGCCAGCTGCTTTATATCCTGTTCTATTATCATCCAGCGCTCGTTTTACCCCCTTTTGTTTATTTACTTCCACTACCACTGCCCCCCATACACCAGCCACCATCCCCCATGGTGAGAGAGAGAGAGAGACTCGCCTTCACATGTCCGGACATCCCCAGGAACGAGAGTCGGGTTGTGCGTACAACGTCATGAAACCCGCAGCATCTCTTGGAACCCACCAGGTCCCCATGCCGCTTGTGT